ATAGTTGTTCTGCTGAGATGTTATATACACTGACTACCAATAAGTATTTGGACACCTATGCAAATGATGATATCTGCGGTCCTAAGGTACGTCACGGACTCCACTGGTATATATCGTGTAGGAAACAGCATCGGCTTTAGTCGCATGCAAGATGCTTCGCAGTTCAGAGCTCTCTGATTTCGAGAAAGGTATAATTATCGGGTGTCACAAATGTGGCCGATCCTTAAGGGACATATCTAGCGATCTGAAGTACCCTAAATCGACAGTGGCCTATGTGATTAATAAGTGAAAGGTGAGCGGTGATTGTCGGAATGTGCCCCGAGTCAGCAGACCAACGAAACTGGAAGATAGGGACCGACGAGTGCTGTCCAGAGAAATTCGGAAGAACCGCACCCAACCGATGGCCCTTATCTGCGAGAAGTTCCAACAGGCATCCGGGAGTATTGTTTCAATGAATACCATCTGTAAGGATAGGTGCATTGCTCATCAGGGAAAACTATCACTATTTAGAGGATCATATCCAACAATAAAAGGCAAAAAAGGGATGGTGAACAAATGGTTAGGTCTAGTATAATAAAATGTCTTCATTGGCTAGTGGAAGTAGGTTTTCTCAACATTATTAAGGAGACAGAGGCTATGAACACTTGTTCTTTTTATCTGTCGTCCACATGCATTTATATCACCACTTCCCCATAGAGGATTATGGCTATGAAAATTACCTAAAAGCACAAAGGGGATAGGTAGCTGCTCTATGAGATCATCCAAGTCTTGCTAATCTATCTGTTCATTTGATGGTAAATACAGACTGATATCGTAATTAATGTTTTCACATTGATCTCAAGCACAGTAGTAACTTGAAGAGGCATCACCAATTGAATTACATTTACTGGATAGTCCAGGGTCTTATATTTGCATGGTGTACTTTTGAAGTTTCATGCAATGATTTAGTTTAAGAAAGTTTCCTGTATTTCCAAGAATACTGAACACTAATCAGCTATCTGATACTATCAAAAGTGTGACGAAAGCTGTAACAATTCCAGGAAATGAGAGTAGCCATCAGAATTGTTTAGAACTTCTGTCCCTTTTTCTTGATTTTTAAGGGGAAGTGGAGAGATTCAGCCCCTCTTCTGTTTCCATATTATCTGAGTCTAGTGGTTCTGCATATATATTTTCTACAGAGTTGTTTCTTTAGACTCCTAGACTTTTGAGATGTTTTGTTTTGAAGTTTATTTTAGATTGCTTTTCTTTTAACTGAGGAGGTACTATGGGCTGTTTTTTGTCAGTTTTCTCACTATTACTAGGTTTTTATTTTTTGGGTAATGGTTTTCTGCAAGGACTATGTATTGTTTGAGTAGCTTTTGTTCTAGTTGATTTAATTGGTGATGGCTGGCATAGGAAGTATTTGATTGTGGCTGTGCATTCAGTACTACAATTTTCTTGGCTCCCGCAAAAGATATATTTTTTGTCACTTTGATAGTCTGAGCTTCTTTCTCTGATTTAAATTTTGATTATGACTTTGGAAATACTGCATGTCCTCACTTGCAGTTAATACACTGACTACCAATAAGTATTTATACACCTGTGATAAAAAAGAAAAACTAACTTTTCAAAATCAATAGTTGGTAGAGCCTCCACGAAAGGTAATTACAGCGTGGACCCTCCGGGGCATACTTTCCACAAGTCTTTGTATGACAGCTAGTGTTATTTTCTTCCACTCGGCTTGGAGAAGACGTAGAAGTTCCTTCACCGATTTTGCACGGGTAGTGCACCCCTGAATTTGGCGATGCAACTCGTCCCAGAGGTTCTCGATAGGGTTCAGGTCTGGACTCTGGGCAGGCCAGTCCATTCGATGAACTCCATTGGCACCATACCAAGCCTTGGTTAACGTCAAAACATGACAACTGGCATTGTCGTCCTGAAAGTAACAGGGGTTCAACCCGTAAAACTGCCACAACGTAGGAAGCAAATTGTCATCCAAAATAGTACAGTAGGCATCGGAGGTGAGCTTAATGAATGGGAACCAAGGGTCCCAGCCCATACCAGGAGAAACACCCCCAGACCATAATTCCACCTCCAGCAAACTTGACTGCTGGCACAATGCATTCTGGCAGGAGATGTTCTCCAGGTAGACGCCAGACCCAGACTCTGCCATCCAAATGGTAAAGGGTGAACCTTGATTCGTCACTCCAAAGAACCCGTTTCCACTGATCTACGGTCCAATTTCGATGTGCTTTGCACCACATTAACCGAGCAGTGCGGTTGGACTTTGTGATCAAAGGCTTATGGGCAGCAGCATGACCATGAAAACCAAGGATGATCTCATAGAGCAGCTACCTATCCCCTTTGTGCTTTTAGGTAATTTTCATAGCCATAATCCTCTATGAGGAAGTGGTGATATAAATGCATGTGGACGACAGATAAAAAGAACAAGTGTTCATAGCCTCTGTCTCCTTAATAATGTTGAGAAAACCTACTTCCACTAGCCAATGAAGACATTTTATTATACTAGACCTAACCATTTGTTCACCATCCCTTTTTTGCCTTTTATTGTTGGATATGATCCTCTAAATAGTGATAGTTTTCCCTGATGAGCATTGCACCTATCAATGACGTAGTGAAAGCATTGCTCATGAAATTCTTCAAGCTCCTAAAAACTGTATTCCTTAAGACATCAAGTAAGTATCCAAAATGCCCAAAGCCATAGTGGAATTTCCAGTGCCAAAAAAAGTTTACGAAAGCAGAGAAAAGCTTGTGGTACTTTTTGCTGACATCCTACTGTAGCAAACCTTATAACCTTCAAAGAAGTGAAAGTAAATCCTAGCAAAGTAAAAAGTAAATTCCAAAGAGACTTATGGATATCCTTTGTATATGGATAACATCCTATACAGCAACTAAATGAGTACGGGAGAAAGACAGAAAAGTCTGAAGAATATATAATGACTACTTACTTTCCATTTTGGAAAAGGATGCCCAAGAGAAGATAAGCACCAGAGAAGGAATTCCAGATATTATTAATGAGCGAGACCTTTGCTGCCATCTCTGGTTGCAGCAACTACCTGCAAGCATTACTGTCTGTCAAGCAATGCTCTGAGAAACTTCTCAGTGCTTTCAGCTGTACCAGTTTGTCTTATAACAGCAATTTTACTCTGGCTCAAGGAAGACTTTATTACAGACACTTTGGTTAAGCCCAGGGTCCTGATGGTTTCAGTCATGAAATGCTGAAGCATCTTTCCAAGGTTTTAAAATGCCCTTTCCACCCTTTTCAACTAAGTATGTAGACAGCATGATTTTCCAAAAACATGCAAGAAAGCTGTTGTCATTGTGATACCTATGCCAGGGAACAGCCCAAAAAAACCCTTCGAACTATCAGTCCATTGAACTTAGAAGTTGTATTTGTAGACTGTGAAAAAATAGTAAATCGCTGCCTAGTCTTTTACTGAGGTTGGGGGAAGAGTAATCTCACCATAGAGCAGTTTCTGCAAAGGTAGTACATCTATAGATAATATATTACTTTTGCAAATTTCTGTCCAAAAGGTCTTTGTCGAAAGGAACCATTTAATTTCAGCATTTTTTTATATTCAAAAGGCTTATGACGAGGCATGGAGATAAAGTATTTTATGTGATCTTTAAGCCAGTGGCTTCCTCTGCAACCTGCCGGTTTCCATGCAGAATTTTTTTAAGGTAGTTTATTTCAAGTAAAGATTGGCTCAGTGTTATCAGATGTTTCCTGTCTAGATGAGAGTGTATCTCAAGGCTGTATTCTTGGTGTTTTTCTTTTTAGCTTAAGAATAAACTGTGTTTTGAATGAGTTTCCTCCTACCATTTTAGGATCATTATGCATTGACAACCTCCAAATAAACTGAGGCAGTTGCAGATTGCTCAGATTTGAGAAATGGTCAAATAAGCAGGGGTTTATATTTTCAAAAGAGAAGACCATTTGTTTACATTTATGCAAAAAGCAGAATTTCTATCCTGAGCTTCACCATGAAGGATCGTTGATTCCAGTTGTAACTGAAGTGCTGTTCTACCGAAAGCTTACCTTTCTTCTGCATGTACTGTACATGTAGAAATGCTTCAAAATTCTAAACTTATTTAAAGTGTTGGCAAACACTTCCTTTGGAATGTTGCTCTTTACTTAGAATTACTAAGTCTAATCTAGAGCAGACGAATTGCAATCGTCTGCTCTAGATTAGACTATGGCTGAGTTATTTATAGATTCGCACAGCCTTCTGTTCTAGTGAAACTTAGCCCTATTCATTATCAGGTTTTTGAGCTTTATCCAGATATCTCCCTTCCAGAGCCTGTATGTTGATTTATTGTTACAGTTAAAACTTGAACAATTATCTCTTTTTCAGTATTTCAGGATAATATCACAATCTGATCATCCTCGTCAAATCTGTTGGCTTGATGAGCTAATTACCTACACTCCTACTTTCAACATTGGACAGAAGTGCCATATTTGTTGCATATCTTCCAATATATATGTGACAGTAGCTTAACTCATGCAAACATGTTCCCCAAAGGTGTTTTTAGAATATTATGTATTTACACACTTTATATTTGACCATTATTTAGCTGTTTATTGTTTTTTCTTAACAGTGTCTTGTTTCTTATAAAATGCTTCTTTTCATTATTAATTATGAACTGAAAATACCTGCTAAAACTGATGTATTTCATCAATTCACAAATTCACCAGAGAGTAGATTTTTCATGGGAATGTGGGTATTCAGAATACCTTATAAATTAAGTATTACTTGTAACAACTAAATATTTAATATTGGATTTTCTGTATCTTAACATAAAATTTGAAGTATACATAATCCTATTAGAAAAACATATATATTGTCTTTATAAGACAATGTAAATTTTGTGATATTCATTGCAAGCATCAAATTTGAATTTTGTTGCAAAGGCTGAATTTCATTTAATACCTAAGTATTTGTTTTCTTATGATATTTGCTTTATATATTTATGTCCTAGTGTCTTAACTTTATTTCTAGGTATGAATCATTTGATTTTCATCATGAATGTAGGAAAATGCGATGGGATAGGTTATCAATATTGATTGATCGTGTACGCCAAGATCTCATTGATCATGGGTTTGTTTGTCATTATATATATATATATATATATATATTTTTTTTTTTTTTTTTTTTTTTTGTGATTAATTCATCAATAATCTGATTTTTTAAAATTTATTTACCTTTGATATAAATTTTTTAAGTAAATCGGGTCTTTTTTATTTTAGTTATTTTATGATGCTTCGTGATGGGAGTGTCCCCTGTCAACAAGATGGAGTTTTTCGAACGAATTGTATTGATTGTTTGGACCGTACAAATGTAGTTCAGTGTCTTCTAGCACGAGAATCACTACAACTTCAACTCAGAGTAATATTTCTAAATTAAAATTTTTCTGCTTTTTTTTAAATATAAAGATTAATCATATTTTAATAAAAGTGTGGTGATTTGTATGTTATAAACTTAAAAAAAAAATAAAATTATATGTGATATATGAACAAAAATTGACTGATGTGCTTGCAACATAATACACTTTTCTTGTGGCATTTGCACTAAATATGCATTTTCTTTATGCTAATATTTTATTTTACATCTGTATCCCTTTTAGTTTTAATCACAGGAATTTGAAATGTATTCAGATGTGCTATTTCCAATTTTATTCCAGTTTCATTCTTATTTATCTGTATAAATATCTGGCCTAAATCATTAAAGAATTTACTAGTATCATATTTAAAAATTAACTGGCACATATGGTTAAAATGAAGTTAAAAATGAGATAAAATCTCTAGGTTGACATTCTGGGACCATATTTAAAAATAAATAAAGGCACAGGAATTTCAAATATAATCCATTTGCTTTGTCACATGGAAAGCTAGAATGAATGATTTCATTACGTTCATTGTCTTTTGTTCCTTTCTGTTGGGTTGCTGTTCTCAGAATTGCCATCCAGTTGTACAAAGAGTGAAGGGAAGGTCTCTGCTGCAACATGGCTTGTTGGTGATTTCAAACACTTCTCTAATTTTGAGGCTGTTCTATGCCGGGTTTTGGTGGAGATTTTGGTCCTTGTCCTATTCAGTTATTGAGAGAAGTATTTGACTAAAGATATGCTATTTTCATTGATTACAGAGGGGGTTAGAAAGAGCTTTAAGATATATTTTTGTTTATTTGTTTGTCAGTTCTTATAGATGTTCTTCTAGGTGTTGAGCTGATATATTGAGTTTCTGTGCTTAATCTTTTTGCAAATCAGGATAGTATATATATACCAGAAGTATCTGTTGTGGTGACGTGCAATTTGTCAGGTCTTAACAATTTTAGAATGGATGAGGCTGGAGTAATATCAAGTTTATACCCAAATCTTTTAACCGCAGAACAGATGCATGGGGTGACTGAGCAGTAGAGGGATGTTCCAATAAAGTTATTGTTACTTGATGCTTGCATAAGAAATGTCTTTACTTTTTGAGAAATGACTGTACAAGCTTGTTAACTGGTTTTCTTGGTGAGTTTTTCTGCAAAATCAAGAGGATATCTATTGCAGTATGTGATTATTTCAGTTTTGTATAACTCTGGTGTGAACAGGAATTTTTGGCATATTTAAAATGAAAATAAAAGGCAACTGTATTGTACATATGAAAAGAAGAGTTGAACGGGATTATTTCTGAATTGTGAAAGGGTTTATAATAGATTGTAATCTGAAGATAATTGCCATTTCTTAAAATTAAGAGATCAGGAAATTTAATGCTATTATTAACTTCTATGTTGATCATAAACTGCTGCTACCAATGCTGGTTCTATGAAGCATTGGTAGTTGCTTGCTCATGTCACCATCTTTAGTGGTTTCACTAAATATGTATTAGAATGCTTGATAAAACCTTATAAAGTAAAATGTAAATTATCTATGTTCAAGTTAGAATTTATTTTACACAATCACTTAAGCGTGCAGGGAAATATTACAACATATCCAAAAATGAAACAATAGGAGGAGCTTTTAACAGCATACCTCAGAACATCAAGTCAAGAGTGTCAATGACCTCCGATGCCTGTCTACTTTCTCCTCTCCTTGAGACGCGTCACCACCTGTTGTCCCTTGTCTTCATCCGAGGCGTGCCTTTCAAGAAATATAGTTCGGTGATCGCTACAGGCAGCCCCCCCCCACACACACCAGCAAAAGCAAGATTTTAGCTATGCCAGGGACTGAAATGTAGTAAGGCGTTGGCTGAGCGAGTTACCATTGCCGATGATTCACAGTTCGATGCAAGAATAGCTGCTGGCAACATCAGAATCTCCGATTTTTGTTGATGGATCCTCTGTTGTAGGGAGGGAAGTTGTGCTTCGAGTGGTTGCGGGTGCTGAGTCTTCAGCATTTTTTCTTGTAACATATGCTGATTTAAGCCAATTGATGCTTATGGTCTTAGCTTTAACCATATGGAAATTCTGGCAACTTTGTCTTTTTAACTGTTCACTTCATAAGGGCCTTTGTATGGCGGCTGAAGGCTTTTTTTTTAGTGCATCCATTTGAAAAAAAAACCTGACTGCAGGTGGCTAAGTCTATATATGGTTACTAAGTCTATATACGAATACCGGTTGCTCGCCATGAGGTTGATTTATAGGAGGTAAAAGGCATTGCATAGATTTGTGAAGCTTTCTGACAAAAGTCACTGAATCTGGGGTTCCAGGAGTAAGGCACAGGAACTCACCTGGGAGGTGAATTGGAGCTCCATACACCATTTCTGCTGTGGTTGCTTGCAGATCATTCTTCCAAGTGGCTCTGAACCCTAATAAAATTCTAGGCAATACAGCAGTTCCCTGATTATTGCTATGTGCCATGATTGCAGATTTCAGCTGCCGATGAAATCTTTCAACTCGGTCATTTGCAGGTAGATGGTATGGGGATGTGCTGTGTCGAGCTGTACCCAGGAACTTGGTTAGTGTATCAAAGATTGATGATTCAAATTGCCTTTCTTGGTTGGTAGTTAGCTAGAGTGGAGATCTGAATCTGGAGATTTAACCTGCATAGAAGTCTGCTGCAACATACTGTGTGGATATATGTACTAACGAAATGCCTCAGGTCACTTAGAAAAACGGTCGACACATGCGAGACAGAATCAAAAGCCTTCAGGAGGACAGGTCCTACGAGGTCCAATGTGCACATGTTCGAATCTAGCACTAGGTGGCACAAAAGCACCAATTATGGTATGTCATGTTCTGACACTGTAAGCACTGACAAGCCCAAGATGCCACATCTGCTTTCATTGAAGGCCAAACATATCGTCAATCAGCTTTACTGAGGCTTTAACTGCAAACTGGGAAAATTACCTGATATAACAGGAAGAGTTAGGATGTTATCTGATAAAAGAAGTTCATCTTCTGGATGATTCCATAGCATGGAAATACCATCTATATACCTTTTCCAAAAAGTAAGTTTTTGGAGGAACTTGGAGAAAATTGTCTTCATGTTGCATGTAGATTTCAGCTGAGATAGGTAATATTAATGCTCCCATAAAGAGATTTTCTTACTGTTTCTAGGTTTGTCCATTGGCTGTAGACAATGTAAATTTACCAATGGGATGAAAAGCATTTATAAAAGTTTAACTAATGTTGATGTAATTCTTAGCTTAAATCAAGGTTTTCACCAAAATCATTTGAGATTCAAATAAAGAGACTGATAGAAACAAGGATTCTATCCATAGATTGATGTCAAGGTGAACGTGGTAACATCAAGATCGATTGCTTTTGGAATTTGTACATGAAATTCGCTTGTAGAGTGCACACTTGATATACTATCCTTTATTAAAATGGAGTAAAATTTGGTAAGCTTACATTCAAATTGACTGGATGATGAAAGTCTACAGTTTGCCAAAGGTATTGATAAAATTAGGTAATTATGAAAGGTACCACCAAGCTATGTTGCAACAGAACCTTTCAATCACTGTACATCTGAATGGGAATTCTGAGTACAACAATCATGTAGAAACAAACAAAAGACTATGAACATAATAAAACTATCCATTCCAACTCAGCTGATAAAGCAGATGGGTCATCTGTGAAAATTCTGTTCGTTTATGTGTTCTTAAGAATGGTTCCAGCATGTTAATGATCTCTTTTTTAACTTTACTAATAATGTTATTACATGCTTGACAAAAATCTAGTGCATTTCTCCTTCCAAGAGATGAACTTTTATTTTTATTATTGATTCTATACTTTTATTCTGTTTTTTCCCCCTTGTGAGAGCCAGAAAGGGTTTTAAGGGCACATTAAATATTACTTTTAACTCTATTAAATTTTTAAATATGATTCTGATTTAAATACATTGAACTTTTTCTGAGACAACCAATCGATGATTTCAACTGATTTTGGTCTTCTAGAGGTGATCATTTTACTGAGGAGATATTTAACATGTTAACTGCCATGCACATTTTATGTGGTTTGCCCATGGTGCCAACATGAATTATTATGCGATGTATATTATGTTGCAATATTATCTGCAAAAGATAAGGCGAGTTATATACTCATGTTTAATGCATTTTTCATGGTGGGGAATCACTGGTGACCCTCGAGGTGCTGATTTTTGTGATTTATTGTTTAAATTTTTCCAATTTATTCTTCAAACCATTATAGTAACAATGGTATTATTTAAAAATCTATCAGTATTGATGCTTATTCTAATTATGTATTTTTACTAGTGGTCGCATCGCCAATCACCGGTGCCCCTCCACAGCACTATAGCCAAGTCGAGTGCCGGCTACCAGTGACACCCATGGCAATTAGCATGTTAATACTGGTTTTTATACATGGTCTAATAAAACCAATCATTTTCAGAGGTGGTATTCTTAAGGAAGGCATTGTCTTGAGAGGATTCACAGTATTTGTATTTTAAATTCTTAAAAATATTTCATATGACAAGTAAATGTAAATGATATTTTAAAAATACATGTTGTTAAGATATAAACTTATTGTTGGCAGGATATAAAAAGGTTATCAAGTGAAATGAAATTTACTGTTCCTTTACTTTAGGCTAATGTGATATGCAGTACAAAGTCCGTAATCTGCTTCGGCGATTCCGGTTAGGGGTTTTTCCTGATTATAGATTATCAGTTTAAATCTGGTAAGATGGCATGCAGAAATTATGCAATTAAAATATGAAACGTAATTTATGAAACACAGAGCAATTATGATCTAAAGGGTATCAAATTTTACAAAAAAAAAAAAGCTTAATATTTGTTTACTTTATTAAACATTTCTTTTAACTTGCGCATGCATAAAGCATACATTACGTGCATGCACGTGCGTAATGTATGCGCGTTCTTTACGTGGCTGCGTAATGTATGCACATTCTCTACGCACATGTGTAAAGTTTGTGGCTTTGAGGTCCGGATTATAGATCGTTCTGGATAATGGATGTCCAGATTACAGACTTCCATACTGTATATATAGTATATTGTTTTCGAAATTTTCAATTATATATGCGGATTCATTAAAGTTGGCGTGCTGTTTATCTTCTCGTAAGTGTACTTTTGAATGATTAAAATATTAATAATTCAATATTAAATTAAACATTTAAAACTGTTATATTAAAGAATTATAATGTTCCATGTAGAATAAATTGGTTGTATGGAAGTATCCAAAGTTGCATCACTTTAGATTATTATATAACAGTTACCAATGCTGATTCACTTTGAAACTAGTCATTTTAACATTTATGCACACTTTTGAAATATTGTATATATACTTCAGAATATAAAACACATGTTTAATAAAATTAAAATTCTAATATTTCTTCTTTTCCAGAGACTTGGGGTACTAAATGAAGGTCAAAAAGTAGAAGACCAATCACATTTTGAAATTATTTATAAGAATGGTACAGTGCCTTAATATTTTTAACTAAATTTTATTATCAAAATTTGCTAGTGTAAAACTTCTTCTTCTTCTTCTTCTTTTTTTTTTTTTTTTTTTTTTTTTTCCGGGGGGGAAGTTTGGGCAGACAATGCTGATGTTTGCAGTGTGCAGTATGCTGGAACTGGAGCTTTAAAGACTGATTATACCAGGTAATTTTCTTTATTATCTATTAATATGTTAAATAAATTTATGTGAATATAATAAATATTTTAATTTATAGAATTAATTAATATCTTAAATGTGTATTATAACACATTATATTACAGCATTAAAAATTTTTTCATATACCGTAATTTCTGGAAGAAATGCCGCGGCGTTTACGTGTTTAAAACTTAAATTTTCAGCGGATGCGGCGTTTCTACCCATGCGATATTTAGGTGCACTAAAAATATTTCCTATGATGGTCATTGTGCATAGTTTGAATAGCTTTGTCATTGTACATAGTTTGAATAACTTTGTCATTGTACGTAGACCACTCAGTTGCTTTTTGCGAACGTTATATTGTTTACATTCTTTCCCTTGAACGGACCTACATGCCTTATTCACCCTAAACGGGATCTCAGAACAATAACATTTTTCCCCCTTTCAAATCAGCATTCTCATCATTTTGAATAGTCTCTCTCCTCTGCCATTCGATGAATCTTCCAGGACCCATCCTCTCCCCACCCCTGCCTTTTCTGCAAATTCTTTCAAAGGCGGACACGACTCCACCTGCCTCGCAATAACGAACTCTGACGTGTTTCCCTCTTCAGCATGAATCAAGTTTTCTTGGCATTCTGCCAGATACAGATCCCATCAGTTTGGGTACAAGTATATGTTGGATAGTTTTTAAGTAAGAAGGGAGCGGAAAATTTTTGAAAATGGCACCTAAATGGCACAGAAGCTATATACTGCTGATTTTAAGCTTAATGTATGAGGGAAAGTTGAAAAATAAGTTTCCCCTGTCAACTGTAGTCGGAGTTGTGTATGAAAGTCAAAAAATAGAATGAGACATTAAAGATATGACATACCTTTATTTTTCCACATAGGTACCAAGTACATTGAGACATTTGTCATATCGCTTGATAAGCTTCAAAAAGCCCTCCAGGAAAAAATCAGGGCTTTGCATATGGAAGAAGCGTTGAATGGCTTGTTTCACTTCAGTATTGCTTCCAAAGCGCCTTCCCCCAAGATTTTTCTTCAAAGCCGGAAACAGATGGAAGTCGCTTGGTGAGAGATCAGGACTGTATGGCGGATGGTGTAGGCGCTCCCAACCAAGAGTTGCAATATGGTTTTGCGTTGCCGTCGCCAAATGTGGTCTGGCATTGTCATCCAACAGCAGAAGGCCAGGCCGCTTTTTCCGAATCGCCTCTTTCAATTTCGACAGGGTGTCACAGTAGCGCGTAGCATTGATGGTTTCAAACTCCAAAAAGTCCAGCAACAAAACTCCTTGGGCGTCCCAGAAAACTGTGAGGAGCACTTTACCTGCAAAGGGAGTTGTCTTGAACTTCTTTCGGACAGGTGATGATGGATGTTTCCACTCTATAGATGCGGCCTTCGATTCTGGTGTGAAATGGTGAACCCACGTTTCATCCCGTCACAGTCCAAAACAGAAAGTAATTGCCATCTTCATGGTAATGCACGAGATGTTTCAGGCTGACCCCCCATGCGTTGTTCCTTGTGCGTCGAGGTCAATTGTCGGGGCACCCATCGTGCTGACACTTTTCTGTATCGAAGAATGTCGTGGATGATGTTTTAAGCTCGCTCATGTGAGATTCCAAGTTCTTCTGCTACTTCATCGATGGTGATACGCCGGTTCGCTCTAATCATGTCATCCACCTTCCTGCCATTTGCATGTGTAGTGGCTATGCGCGTCCGTCCAGCTCTCGGTATGTCCTCCACTTGCTGATGTCCATCACTGAATGTGCGACACCATCTCCGCACCATTTGCTTCGACATCACACCTGGTCCATAGACTTCCACGAGGCGGTCATGAATTTCTGCTCCTGATACTCCACGCGCCCATTCATAGTGGATAACTGCTCTTACTTCCTCCTTTGACCACGAATTCAAAACGCACCTTCTCTCCATACCTACCGGGGCTCAAATGAGAGGCTGGTCTCCGCTTTGCGCAGGCACTGCAACAGCGCCATCTGCTTGATTTGCAGCGACCTCTACCCAATGGTGTATCGGTGACTTGCGCGTTTTCCTGCTGTGTCGCCTTTCGCCCTTAGCCGTTCAATGCTTCTTCCATATGCAAAGCGTGAATTTTTCTTGGAGGACTTTTTGAAGCTTATCAAGCAATATGACAAATGTCTCAACATACTCGTACAAGAATAATAAAATAAAGGTATGTCATATCTTTAATGTCTCATTCTATTTTTTGACTTTCATACACAACTCTGACCACAGTCGACAGCGGAAACTTATTTTTCAACTTACCCTCATAATTTCACATGCTGAACAAATTGGAAATAGAGCAGCAGCTCGAGAGTTTGAAGTGGACGAGTTCAACGTTGTAGAACTGAAAAAGAACTTAAAAATATGCCACAACAGAAATGAGCCAAAAGAAGTGGTACTGTAAGGCGGCCGAATCTAGAGCAAGACTTTGCAAACTGGATAAAGGAGCAACGAGGAAAGGGAATGGCAATTTTGACTGTAAAAATTCGCTTACAAACAAAATTTATAGCAAAACAAATGAACATAAATGATTTCAAAGGAGGACTTTGCTGGTGTAGCAGATTTATGAAAAGAAAAAATATTTCTGGGCGTACTAGAAGAACAGTCGGGCCGCAATTACCAATGGACAGGCAGGATAAAAAGGCATCTAAAATATGTGACATATTATTGACAAAAAAAAAATTCTTCCATCACAGATAATAAATATGGATGAAACGTCGTTAGCTTTCGACTTTCCTGCAAACAGAACTGTTGATGAAACTGGTGCAAAAACTGTATCTGTGCTTACGACGGGGCATGATGTGTGATCATTTACATGTGTGTTAGCTTGTGCCACGAATGGTGACAAGCTAAAGCTGATGATCATTTTTAAATGAAAAACTATTCCGAAGGAAGATTTTCCTAATGACGTAATTATTGTGCAAACGAGAGCGGCTGGATGTGCGAAACAATTATGCATGAGTGGCTACAAAAAAGTTTGGCAGTGTCGTAAGGGATCTTTTTTCCAACCGAAAGGGTTATTGACAATGGATTTGATGCGTGCTCATCTACTTGAGTCAGTGAAAACCAGATATCAAAAATTGTCTACAACCGTAGCAATAATTCCTGGTGGTTTGACAAAAATCTTACAACCATTAGATTTGTCAGGTAATAAATCTTTCAAAGCTGAAGTTCGAAAGCGGTGGGAGTGTTGGATGAGTGAAGGATTGCATACGTATACCAAAAGCGGTAAAATTGAAGAAATTGCAAACTGAGTAGGAAGTGTGAGGAAATCGGTAAAAACATTGTCAATAATAGCAGGGTTCAAAGAAGCTGAAATTATATCCTTAGATAAAGAGACTGTAAACCAAGAGGATGAAAAGTGACAATCTGGAAGACTTGGACTTAGATCAGGATTTACTAAAACTTTTTAATTCAGATAGTGAAGAATCAGATTTTGATGGCTTCATATGATGTATAGTTTGCTGTAATTCCTTTGTAAGTAAAGTTAAATTCCTTTTGTATCCAAATTTAAAATTTTCTTTTGTCATGCAAATTTAATGTCTCGTTATTGCAACATTTTTATAATATAGTCTGAGTATTACAAATATGGACTTCTTTAGTGGGTAAATATAAGTATATTAGTGAACGTAAATATATTTTCAACATTTCTTACCTCTAAGTTATTTTTGAGTTATGGTTTCATTTCATGCATTTTTCTTAACTGATATGTCATATATCAGGACATAGGTTGAGATTTTGCATCTATACGACCCACGACAATGTCACGGGCAATTTAATCTATTGCGGAGTTTCTGTGTAATTTTTATTTTTTTCCCCGCCATTTTTCTTGAGTGCGGCATTTACACTGATGCAGCCTTTCTTCCAGAAATTACGGTAATTATAAAATATAATATAAGTACAAATGTAATTTTATACTGTTTATAATAGAATTTTGCTGAGAAGCAATCTCTTGGTGAATTTTTGGGCAAATCAAATCAATTTGGGCATCTTCAAATCTAAAATGGAGTTTGAAAATAATCGTATTGTTATGATTGTGCAAATGAGAACGGCTGGATGTGCGAAACAATCAGTTATCATGTCTTGGCATCAAACTGCTTCAACAAGAAAATAATCAAGGTTGTCGTCGGGATTCAAGAGAATAATTAAGATTGGGATCAGGAATATGCTTGTTATTGAACAAAAGCTTTAGTTGGTCATGAGTGCTCTGCAAGGTGCAAATTAAAAATTGTGCAGCTTTCTTATCTTTCCATGAATCTTGAAAGTAACTTTTGAAGAAGAACCTAAACAGAAGTAAAAGACATTAATGTCATTCATGCATTTTTTTATCATCTTCTGATTTTCTCAACAGATGGTTCTGCATGCCATTTTATATTTAAGGCAGTGCAAGTTGTAAAATTAGCTTGAAATACTGCTCCTCATGTTTCACTTAGGACTATATCCCTTATAATTAAATAGGTTAGTTCATAAAGTTTTCTTAATGTGTGATGCAAGGTGTTTTCTTAGAAAATCGCTTAGAGTGCATTTATTCACATTAGCAGATAGCCTGTGTGTATTTTATGATTAACAAAGAAAATATCCAAAAATACTGCTCCTTTGGGAAAAAAATGGGGGGGGTCAAATCTTTTTCTTACAATGTTTTAATATCAACTTAGCACAAAAATCTTCTATCTTAAATTGGAGTTTATTTTACGTGACATTATTTGCAAATTTTATAATCAATCTTTTTCTGCTTCAACAGGACTGGGAAAAGAAGCAAACAAGGTCTCTTGAAAGATGGGTGGAATTCTTTAATTCGTTACTTTAAAAATAATTTTGCTGATGGATTTCGTCAAGTAATTAAATTTTCTAACTTCAAAATGTTGTACTTCCTACATGTGTATTTGTGTGTACTTATACATGTACTTATAATTTATGAATAAATATAAAATATGCACTCAATAATTTTAATTTGTGTGTAAATGAATAGAGTAAATCAACTTTTAAATAATTATTATAAATCATAGAGAAACATGATTTAACATGAGCAGAATTTTAGAAAGGTGAACTAAAAAGTAAAAGCTGTGAGAATGTTGGGGGATAAAGAAGTCAACTTGAAATTTAACTTAAATAATTGCATTTTTACATTTAAATAATTCATTGTAAAGCAATTAATGTTTTATTCATCTGTTTATTTAAATAAGTTATTAATTTTATAGCACTTAGTTGAATATTTATGTTTTTTTTTCCATTTATTTATTTAATTACTGAATTTTTGTCCAATTTTTATTGTAGGATTCAGTTGATTTGTTCCTAGGAAATTACCAAGTTGATGAAAGTGAAGGTGTTTCTAAACCTTGTCCATTAAAAGACAAAAAAGATATCAAATATTCTGCAGTAAGTATTTTACATTATTTGCATCATAAAAATAAATTGCCATTTTTGCACATTTTTCTGTCACACATGTCCTTTTCCCAACATTTTCAGTATGGGATTTTGAAACATCTGATATTTGATAGCAACCTATAAGGTACTGTTTATAGCAAAGTACATTCTGTAATTAAAAAGAGTAGTAGTGAAAGCAATAACTGTAACTGATTTCATTGAAATATTAAGCAGAGTAAAATTAGTTTTTTTTCATATGTACTTTTAATCTACTACTTCCTTTTTAAATCCTTTTCTCAGATATAGTAAATATGGTATATTTTCTCCCTCTCTGTTTTCAGGAAGCAAAAATTAATTTTTTAAAAAAAAGGAAAGATGCAAATAAATATGATAGTATATATATATATATTAAAAAGCTAGGTAGTAAGTACTATATAAAAAGACCAGTTTGGTCTAAAAAATTTTTTGCACAATATGCTGCAAAATTAAGGAAACGACAAGAAGATAAATTGTAGTAAGCTCGCCAAAAAGTCACCAGGAGCTGTGGCTCCAAGAAAAAGTTCAACACAGTATTTTTTTAAAAGAATGACATTGAAGGGTGAAATATTAGGCTACACGTGAAATAAAATGTATAATATAAAGCACAGTATAATACTAATTGTTGGAAACAGGTTAATGGCAAAAAATACAGTAAAATACCTATCGATGTGATAAGTGAAAAGTTGAAACATATTAAAAAATGATTGATGGAACAAGTTAAAACAAATAAAAACATATGAAAAAACGTGACAAAATATAAAAAATTATAAAGCGGAAAATGGTAAATTAGCTTAATTCTATGTCCAACCTGGCTTTTCAATGGAAATTTCTGGCTAAACATTGAACCAAGCTAACTCCATTACATGTTTCGCTGAAACAGACAATTGAAACTTTGTGTTACGAAAATTTTTTATAATTAGATGAATTGTCCTAAAAAAATTTTTTTTGGTTTAAATTCTCTGTTCCAATTTCCCAACGCGTCCGCACGAAATGACACATTAAGGTGTAAAAAATGAAAATGCAACTCCGATGTACAGCAATAATTAAAATAAATAGCGGCCTACTATTAGTCAAAATATAAAATAACGTACGGGCTGAACCTGCAAGCTTAAAGAAAAACCTTTATAAATTTTAGAAATCTGAAATTAAATTTAAAAAAAACAAACACAGTGGGTCTTGCTAAGACCAAGAAAAAATATTTTGTAAAAGAAACATAAAAAACAGACTTGTGGCTATGCAGTCCCCTTGATCATGAAGCAAAGCTGAAAAGGGGTTGTAATTCCCTTCTGTGTCTTTTAACGCTCTCCCACTCGTCTTGTGATGTAAGGCGGGGAAAACAATGTCACTGGGCAACAGCCAATGTGATAAGACTGTCTGTTGGCGGGAACTCGTTCCCTAGAGCTAAAAAGGGGTTGAAAGGCTCGAAAAGACGTGGAAAGATTTCAAAATGGCGTCAGTCAAGTGGTTTGAAGAATAAAACTTTTTCTAAAAGTGAAAATGATTAATTCAGCTAAAAATACTTAACATGGCCACAAAAGTAAGAGTAAAATGGAAAAAACAGTTATTTGTTAATAAAAAGTCTTAATTCTTCAAGCTACAATAAAAAAACGAAAAGGCCCGATTTGTTAATAAAAGTAGTAGAATTGGCCATCAAAGTAATTTAAAACTATTTAAACAATAATATTAAAAGTATTATGCCAAAATTTTTTGGAGGAAAGAAAACGTTGTGACAAGAATTACCTGGACATTTTTACATTAGATTCTCAGAATCAGCCATCTACTTTATACCGTCCTATTGGGCTTTAATCACTATCTAACTCATATTATATAAAATATCATATATAATAAATATAAAATATCACTAATATTATATAAAATATAAAATATCACTATCTAACTCAAAAAATCTAAAAATTGGTAATATATATATATATATATATGTTGCTTAATAAATGTAGGAAATGGATGCCAGTTATAAAAATAACCATAATTTGTTAACATATTCTTTCATTAGAATACTTGCTCCTCCTGTTGGTGAAAGAACTACCTTCATTTTGTTCCAAAAAGCATTTTAGCCTTTGTGCTTGTAATACCTTTAAAAAAAAAACTGTTTCCTTCTTGTGCCGTTAATTCTTTATATATTGAAAAATCTCGAATAATGGTCAGACTGTAATAAAATAAATAGTTGGTGCTTTCTGATTATCTGCAACCCCATAAAAAGCAAAAAAGACAATGGTAATAAAAATTATTATCTTTTTCGAGAAATCTTTCTGCAATTTTTTGTGTTTCTTCTCCCCGTGTACAAAGGGATATTTTTTCTCTGTTAGGGAAAAAAACTGCTGAAACCTCGCATTGGGCCTGGTCAATAATAAATAAAGCAAGTAGCTGTGATAAATGAGGCTACTTTAAACCAAGCTTTTAACCACGTTCTAACACTTTACTTGCAATTTCTGACATTGCATTTCTATAAAATTCAGTTGTTTAAAAGAGTGCAACTTAAGAATACAACTTTTTGCTTTCTCGCAAGCCTTTAATTCCATATACATTGGAAATTTCGGAATAATGTGAATTTTGCATCTTCCGAGCAAAATGCCATATTGCTGCAGAAAAGTGATATTTTCTTTTTCATCAGCTGGCAAAGTCCACACTCTCATTATGATTTTCAGGATGAAAAAAAAATATACTCAATGGCTGAAGAAATAATGTTCAGAAAAATGATGTTTGAATCTCAAATTGCAAAATTCATGATATACATACCTAGGTTTCCACATGAATACTTGGCGGCATAATGAGTGGCCATATAATTATTTTGTTGACATACTGTGTTGCCTTGTGAATAAATTTTTGTGGCCTTCCATTTAGACTGTTGATAATCACAATTTTTTTATATGAATAAGGTATCAAAATTCTTGTTGTTTAATTATGAATGTATGATGAATATTCTTATAATTTATTCTTTTATATTTAATAGCTTCCTATTGTCTTGTTAATTGCAATTGCAATGTGCTTTCTGTCATTGATTATACCATCAGGTAAGTAACTTTTATTTATTTCTTTTTTCCTGTTTATATTTTTTGTAGGAAAATATTTCACCGTGGATTAAAATGTAAATCGCTTGTAAAGTTTAACATTAAAAATATTATTTGCTATTTATCACATAAACTAACATGACATATGAAAATCAAATTCTCCATCTAAAATTGAATTGAGTGCATTTTATGTTAGAAAATGCCCAGGAAAGGAAATTTAATTCATGAATTGCATTGAACAGTTCAAGCATTTGAATTCATAAGATCCAGCAAGGGCATAGGTCCATCTTTTTCTGAATTACTTTTTAGTATAAATTGTATATTGTAAATTGTATTTTAGTATAAATCTTTTTGAAAATCACATGTGCAAACAATAAATGATGCTTTTTTATTTCAATTATTTATTTGTCACACTAAAACATGTTTAAAATATTTTCACCAGTACTTTTTTTTTAAAACTGGTATAGCTTTAAACAAAACACTAGAGGTAATATAAATTCATTTTAAGAAATGTTTTATATTGCTAGGTTAATTTACAAAGTGTTTGACCAAATATTTTGCATTAAGTATTAATTTTAAAAAAAAAATGTATCCATATTGTAGCTTTTAACTGCAACCTAAGAATAATGGTCTTCAAATAATGAACAGTAAAGAAATAATCAAGAAAAGAGTAATTGATCAAATCGTACAAATTCGGAAAATTTTCATGTGTCAAGTCTGTCGTTGTCTAAAAACTTTAAAAAAAAAAGAAAAGAAAAGAAATGTTATGTTTTATTGCAATATTTAGATTGCAAATCATAAAGCAGTAAATATCTTAAGAATTACCAGATGTTTTGAAATTATCAACTTTTTAATTCTTATATTTGCTCATGAAAAGCCAATCAAATTTCTGCATCAATCACTTTTTTAGCTTTTTCTTCTGCCAATAATAATTCCAGAATGTTTTTAATCTTTTAAATTTATGTTGGTAAACATTCTACTTTAGTTTTTAGTCCTTATTTATTTTATACCTTCTGTAGCATTTCATGAGCAGGCCTTATAGATTGTATCTCTTCCAATCATAAATAATGATTTAAATATCTGGTTAATTTAAAAAGATTAAAAATTTTTACTTAAGTCATTTTAATTTTCAGAGAAACAGATTGTATATTGCTTTTTTCAAAGAATATATTTACTTTGTTGGGAAGTACAATGTAGTACAAATTTAGCTGCTAAAATGGTACTGCTTTCTTTTAAACTGTGCTGTCTACTTGCATTAATTTAGCATAGCAATAATTCAAACAGGAAATGAAAATAACTACAGTAAATTTTATGCAATACAGAATGATAAACTCTTTCAAATGTGTATCTACCATAAATTTACAGACTCGGCATAGCATAAGATTACTCAATATAAAAGTTATTTATGGTTAGGTAGTTAAACTATATTATTGTTTAATTATTATTTGCAATAATAATTTCAAATTATCAATTGTATAAATTTGAGTGTCAAACTTATTAAGCAAAAAAATTCTTCTCACAAGATGATATGTATATGCAGCAATGAAAGGGTTAAAAATAATCAATTATATAAACCTGAGTGACAAGATTTATTTAGCACAAAGATTCTTTTCATAAGACTATATGTATATTCAACAGTAAGTTGAAATTCATACTTTCACATTTTGAACAATTTATTAAATATGTCAAGTTGGGTGAAGTGTTTCTTTGTTTTGCTGAGTTTTAGGAAAAGAATAATACAGTATAAAGTCCGAAATCTGGACGTCCATTATCCGGAATGATCTAAAATCCAGACCTCAAAAACCACCAACAATGTTCTTTTTTTTTTTTTTTTTTTTTTCTCCCAGCCTTTACACATGCACATTTGATTCCCCCTCCGCGCATAACCAAGCATCTGGAGAGTCCCGATTCTTAACTTCACTTCGACACTAAATAAAATACTTTTTTATTGAAGAAACGATCATTTTAGCATAAATTTATGTTTATCAAAACATGACAATTTATGTCGCGATGCATAAACATTTTTTTTATGTTAGTAATTGAATAATAATGGAGTATGGTAACCTTTTATGTTACATTAGGCTTGGTGATGATTACAGATTTAAGTTAAATGCGCTAAAAAATGTTGCCGAGGAAAAATTTAACAAAAATTTCTTTCCATATGCTAAAAATAGATTTTATTGATGATATTCACAGACCCAAAGATTACATTTAGGGTAATTTTAATTAAGAATAATTAATTTTTTATTCACATAAACTTAGAGCCAGTGCCAGGACTCGTATGGCCACACCGAGTCACAGAATTTAGGACCCACAGAGACTGCAGGTGGCAAGATATCTAGCACCGGCAATCAATTAGGCTTTAAGTATATGTGGGAATTTATTTATTCAGAATTCTGATAAACCTTAAGCATGTGCCAGAAATAGACATAAGTATAATAAATAACTAAACTAATACAATTCAGGCTTAATTGTCTCAGTGTGCGATAGAAGCAAGATAAAATTTAACGGAACAACTTGTCATTAGTCATCTAGCTCATGCTGTATAGCCAAATATGTCTAATGAAGGATAGCTAAAATTGATGATGATAGCCACTAATTTTAAAGTTTTTCGGATATTGCAAAACAAAGGTGAAATTTTCCAATTAACGGATTTTGTAAAGAAATGTGGAGAAGTGGTGTTTTTCATTGTGATGATAATGCTTCTCAATCATCAGTCAATTAATGAATGGCGAAATCTGTAGTATGGTTCTAAATCCAGAAAATACTGCTACCGATAGTGAAAAAAGTGACAGAGAAGTAACTGAAAACGAGAAAATTTTGATTGACAGGTTAGTCGGAATTCTCGAAACAGCAGTTACAGGACTTCAAGATTATGTCTGTCTACAGAAATTAAGAGAAAGTATTAGTGCAAAAAACAAAGTAACTTAAAACAACTTACATTGAAAGAAATGTTTAATATGGTAAATAAATATTAAGCTTTTTTTTTTTTTTTTTTTTTTTTTTTTTGTAAATTTTGATACCTTTTAGATCATAAATACTTCACTATTTCATATTTTTAATTTTATAATTTCTACATGCCATCTTACTAGATTTAAACTGATAATCTAATATCCGGAAAAATCCCAAATCCAGAATCGCCGAAATCCCGATGAGTCCAGATAGGATAAATGCAGTTTTATCATGCTTATATTGAATTGTATTCATATGACTTCATATATGCAGTAACTACATCTGTATGAAGTTATATGAATATTTATTTTCTGATATTTATGTTTTCTTTTTTTCTAGTGCATAGCTCTGAAACATTTATGTTTATCCTCTTTTGGTTTGGAATGGTTGTTGCATCTGCATCTGTAATACTGTATTATGGAACAGAATTTGTGGATTATCCTAAGCTCCAGAACCTTAGGGTATCTCAATTAAAGTATGAATGAACCGATGCTCATATGTATGTTGTATGATGCACATACTGTGATTGTAACACCTTATTCCACTTTTAAATGCATTCCTTGTCATAGCACAGAATAATGCATTACATTATTTATTCCTATAGTAAAATTAGCTGAATTTAATTTTCAATTAATGTAAAATATACAAATTAATGTATCCAAATATTAAGCAAATATATTTGAGTTAATGTACTAAACTTTTAATATAGATATGTTAAATTTTACTAGATAAAGATGCTTGTTGATTAGATTATTAACATTGTAAAAAGAGAAAAATTTTAATCATTTACAAAAAGTTTATTTTTTTAAATGACTGTTTATTCAAGTATATTAGGTCATTATATGCTTATAAATATGTAAAATACTTCTTAAAGCATGGAAAATAGTACACATTATATTTTTATTCTTTATTCTGTACTTATTATTCTAGTTTATTATGTAATATGATTTATGAATAATATTGAAAATAAAAAAATGATTGTATTTCTATTATAAATTTTATGTTATTCTATGAACAACATTCGGAAAAAATCCGGTTTCTTTTTGTGTACATTTTGATTATCTTAATTTAAGGGGAAAAATGACCTTAGAAATATTTTGAAAATAAAGTATTAAAAAAAAAGGTTCTTATAATTTATATATTTACTCGATCCTAAAATTTTTTCTCATTTTATTCCATTATATTTTGCTAAATTATATTGAAATGACATAGGAAGAGGTCAGATTTAAGCATTCATAGTTTAAAAAATGGTTTATGTAAATGAACGAATCAATTTTAAATTTGTTGTAAAAAATGATCTCTTGATTATTTTATCTTTCTATGAGTAAGAACTAATTAATCAGCGATGAAAATTTAAATTCCTTTTTAGCAGTGGAATATGTTATTGGAAGGTAATTTCATCTGTGGTGTTTCTTCTATGGCATTTTGTACCACTATTTTGGTTTATTCTTATCAACTATAGATTTTTTTTTTTTTTTTTTAATATTGCATTTTTAGAATTTAGTGAGATTATCAACAATATTACTTATTGACGAGTATTTGTCTGAATCATGAGTTGCGATGATAATGACTGTATGCAAAAAGGGAGATATTTAAAATATACAAGTCTGAAGTTAAAATGTACTATCTCTAAGACTATGAGCAAGTGATCTTTGCTGGAAACATGTCTTCGGTTTTCTTTGATCATTTGCACTGTAGCGTGTATTAGTGAAAAAATTGTAATGTTTAAATATATATTAATGCTTTAAGAGATCTATGTTTAATATCTGAACACTGAAATGTAAATTACCTCCATACAGTTAAAAATTTAACATAAACAATAAGGAAGTTACGCTGCAACGCATGAGTTAGGGGATGAATTACATTTTGCTTTTAGTCAGTACCTGCTGGACATACAAGTCTGAGTTGGACATAATCATTTTCAGAGTGACACAGGCGCTCTTGCAAAAATCTTCACTGGACTTGAACAAAAGATTGACAATTTATTAATGATTTCATTATCTGTTTCCAATCTGAACTAGTTGAAAAGCTCTTCAATTCATTAACTGTCTTTTTTGAGCTGAATTTAATTTGACAAATACAGCTTTAAACTTAAATTTGGAACTATGTATGCTTTTTTATCCTTTTAAAATCCTTTGCTGCCTTTATATACTCATTGTTCTGACTTTTAAAAATGCTTGAATATATTTATAAATATATAGAAGCTGTAATTTTTTTAATAATATTTTTTCCCCAAAAGAAATATCGCTGTTTGACATCAGCCACTGCAAATTTTAAAATGTAAAATACCTAAGAATTCCTCATTAAAAACACTTAAGCTGGATTATTTTACTAAATTTATGTAAAAAACTGAAGATTTTTTTCAGCATTCTTTGTGATTATAGATCAGGTAATTATTTCTATGCGAACAAATTGCCTGTGTGATTATTTAATTTTCGCAGAATAGTAGCTCATTTAGGGGTTCATAAAAGGCATTAATTAATTTGCCTTCATTTGAGTGATCATTAGAGACCAAAAATTCAAACATCTTCTAGTTGATTTATTTTCCATTTTCTAATTCCTGTAGTCCAATGGTTCTCAACCTTTCTTGCTCATTTCACCATTGGTAAATGGTCATTCTCTCTCCCTTCCCCACACCCTATCCCTTCCAAAGCTCAAAAAAGAACATGTACATTTATATAAATTTAGATTGCATTTTAATTTGTTTTATAAATTAAACCAAAAAAAGTATAGAAATTGTTGTTATGCCAAAAGTGTAGAAATGTTGATAAATACCAGAATAGTTTTTTACATTCATAAAGTAAAATTAAATATTTAACAGGTAAATGAAAGGCTGCCCCATCCCTCCCCTGGTTGAGAACCCCTGCTATAGTCTTTAAATATGTATATCAGCACCCTTATTATGTAAAATTCTGCTATAATACATACTTCTAGGTGTACCAAATATTAAAAATATATAGGTATTGAGTTTTGGAGACATGCAAAATAAAATACAGGACTCTTCAAACAGCTAAGAGATTTGGAAGTAAAAGTATATAATCAGAAGGGTGTAAAATGTAGCGCATTTTATTCACTTTACTAATTATAAAACACTATTACAGTGGATAATTCTAAATAATTAAAAGGGTCAAGTAGTAGGCGAGAGCTGCAGTTCTCTTAATTATATATCAATTTATCACTACTCACCATACATTTTAATGTTTTGAATTTTTTATGTATGTATTTTGAAAAATTAATATCTTTTCAACTTTTCTCTATTGGCAGAAAATGTCAGCTTAATATATATTTGTCTCAGTTTTTAATAGGTTCATGAGCAATAATATTAATTTTCTAAATAAACTCTATATTAAGATAAATTCGATGTAGATAATGAATTATTCAAGTTTATAGAACTAAAAATGGTGAAAATATTGTAATAGCTCCAAGTCTGCTGACTTTCATATGTTTTTATTCTGTAGATTTAATGTCAGTGCTATCAATTTTCTGAAGTAAAATGAGAATTACTGACAAAGGCTATGAATATTTTATACTATTCAGTTGCTTAAAGTTTTTTTAAGTTTTCCACTTTGCCAGTCCTTAAATTAATATGTAAATAATGGAATCTGATTTTTTTGTGTTTCTAAAATAATAAATAATATGCTTAAATATCTATTAGCTAGTTATATAATTTTTCATGTTTTCATAATATATTATTGAAATCTTGAACAAGAAATATCCCTTTTTCTTATCTTTCAAGAGTATTTAGATATTCAGATTAAAAATTTATAATTTAATTTTCCAAGAACACTTTTTCCTGCAAGTATTTTATTTTGAATTTTTTTTTTTTAAATTTTATGCCAGTTTTTCTTATAAAGCATTTATTTTTAATTCGCTTTAGTATTGATGCAGTTTTAGTTAAGTATTTCTTGGTTCCTATAATAAAAAAAATTTATTAAAATGTTTTAATAAATGTATATTTTTAAATATTCTGCTGTTGTGTGTTATTTTAATTTTTAATGTTAAGAGTTTTTAAAATTTACATTAAATTTATTACTAAAAGAATTTGTATTCTGTTGTATGAAAGCAAGTACATGTCTATGAGAAATGTGTATTTTTATATGAAAGAAATTAATGTATAATAAAAATAGAAAATTTATTCTCTTCGCCCTTTACATTTAGCCATATAGACAAATTTATATACTGTATTTAGCTACAATATTGAGTGAATTTTGTTAGAAAAGATTATTTCTTTCTTTTGAAAGGTATTTAAATTACTTCTACATCGTTTATCTTAATATCTTAATATAAAACTTATCTTAATATAAAACTCAAATACAAGAAATAATTACAGTATATTCTGATGCATAACATGCACTTTCATGCAAAAAATAAGATCGAAATTTACGGGTGTGCATTATATGCTGGATATAAAAATGATAGATTTAAAAATAAGGAATGAGCATAAACAAATTAGGTTTTTATATATACCTAAATGCTGTTTATTTAAGAGAAATGACATATCTAATAAACTTCAAAGTATTCATTATTGGATAACATGAAAAGTTCATCTTATTCCTCTTCTGTTATATGTTCAGCTACATCATCGAATTCTGTTTCGTCTTCACAATCACTGTTACTCTGATCTGTAAAGAGACAATCATCTTCTGTGCCATCTAGATTGTTATATATACTATACTTTTTAAATGACTTTTAATATATGTTGGATTTACTTTCATTCCATGCTTTTACCATTTTCTCACACACATTTTCTAAACTGGCAGGATGCATTTGGCCTCCTTTTGTAAATGCTTTTCATCTTCTAACATTCACGTATTCCATTGTCATTTTAAATTTTCTTTGAATGATTTTTGGAACACGCGTCTAAAGGCTGAACTAATAGCATTAACCCACCTTGTATAATTGCCGTGTCTATATTACACTTTTTCAACAATTCCTTCATATTATCCGTTAGATGAGATCTGAACATGTCCCAGAATAAAAGACTTTCTGGATTCTTTTATGCTAAAGGGTGCTTTTGCCAAACATTTCTTATCCACAGTTTCACTCCATTTTCATCCATCCATCTTTTCTCATGAACAGGAATGAAAACACCATTTGAGAAATTACATTTTGGTATTGTCTTTCTTTTGCAAATAATCGTGAGTTTTAATTTTAAACTGTCCTCTAAGCAGGAAAGCACTACGGTAAAGTGAGATCTTTCATGACCTGTTGTTTTTATGTGAAACGTTTTTGTTCCTTTTACATCCATTGTTTTATTTACTATCACATGAAGCATTACTGGAGTTTATCTATAATTCCAATATGTGACAGTAAATACCTTTTTTTTTTTTTTTTTTTTTTTTGCCTTCATAGGTCAATAACATGCTTCTCGAAACTAATCAGTTTATTATCCAAATCTATTGGAAGCCTTTGCAAAATGTTTGCTTTTGCTCAAATTATTCTGCACCATAAATCTACTACACTAACTCAAAGTTG